TGGAGGAAGCCAGCAACAACAACCTGCTCACTCTGCCACCACCCGGGCACAGTCCCAACAACGTAGACAGGATAAAGTACTGTCGGTACCACAGGAACCACGGTCACACCACCGAGGAATGTCGTACTCTTCGGGATCGCATAGAGGAGCTCGTCCAGGCAGGGCACCTCGGGCAATACGTACAACGGCAGCAAGGCCACTGAGGAGGTTACAATGGAAGAGGACGGGGTAGAGGTCATGGTTCGGGAGCTCGCGTGGACCAACCCTCTAGCTCTCAATAAAATGCCGGTGGCGCAGTACAGGCCGAGGTAAGCCAGGAAATAGGGTCAGCTCCCCTACGGTGGGTAATCAACACAATTGCAAGAGGCTTTGCAGGGGGAGGATCCAGCAGCTCGGCCTGAAAAAGACACCTGCGCAGTATCAACAACGTCCACTCCGCTACCTCGGCCTCGCACCAAAGCTCACCATCGATCACCTTCACCGACAACGACTACACTAGCGTCTGCCCCAACCAGGACGATCCAATGGTCATCGCCGTGGAGGTCACCAATTGGGAGGTCCACAAGACGTTGATTGACCAAGGAAGCTCGGCTGACGTCCTATATTGGCCGACATTCCTCAGGTTACTTATCCCTCACTCCCTTATCCAACCTCACACAGAACCACTAGTTGGATTTGCAGGAGAGCGAGTACACACTAACCCTCTAGCTCTCAATAAAATGCCGGTGGCGCAGTACAGGCCGAGGTAAGCCAGGAAATAGGGTCAGCTCCCCTACGGTGGGTAATCAACACAATTGCAAGAGGCTTTGCAGGGGGAGGATCCAGCAGCTCGGCCTGAAAAAGACACCTGCGCAGTATCAACAACGTCCACTCCGCTACCTCGGCCTCGCACCAAAGCTCACCATCGATCACCTTCACCGACAACGACTACACTAGCGTCTGCCCCAACCAGGACGATCCAATGGTCATCGCCGTGGAGGTCACCAATTGGGAGGTCCACAAGACGTTGATTGACCAAGGAAGCTCGGCTGACGTCCTATATTGGCCGACATTCCTCAGGTTACTTATCCCTCACTCCCTTATCCAACCTCACACAGAACCACTAGTTGGATTTGCAGGAGAGCGAGTACACACTCAAGGATACGTGGACCTACTGACAACCTTTGGAACCTCTCCCGACACAAGGAGGATTATGGTCCGATACCTCCTCGTGGAAGCCAATGAAAGTGAAGGAGGAAAAATGGGAGAAAGGGGGTCTCACAGCTATTACTTCACTGTTTCGAAAAAAAGTGAGTTTTTAATTGATGTTATTCAACTCCCTTCTAATATTTTTCTTTTCTCCAAAAATACTAGACAATATTCAACTATCTTAAGGTTATCATGCAATAGTCACTTGATCATTCATGCAATAGATATATGTATAGGGTAAAAAACTTAAAAATAATTCTTGTTCATCAACTGGAAAACATAAATCCCCTCAATGGGGTTACATATATACACTACACATAACTACACCATTGTATACAAAATAATCCATAATTGTTGGTCAAGCATTTATACAACGATCATGCTACATCGGAGTAACATCATCAAAAATGAATCATCACTATCATGACTCTCCACTAGCCAACCAAGCAAACATGTTAATATTTTCCTGCTTGTATATTAAGTGTGGTCATTGTAGTTCCAACCACAAAGAAAAGAAAGAATAAAATTGTGAAAGAAAACAATGTATCAACAAATAAGAAGTCACGAGTATAGCAACTAAAACAACATGTTAGCCTTCCAAATTGAAAGCATAACAACGACATCAACAATCAGTTATAACTTAACAATAGGAACAACTGAAAATCAACCAAAAAGTTATCAACTAAACAACTATAACATAAACGGTTCAACAAAATACTTAGCTCTAGTAAAGGTTCAACATAAATCATTCACTGATGATTTAAAACAACAACTAAATAAAATCAACTAACAATGGATCATCGTATAAACACCTCAATATAGATAAACAATTTTCACAACTCCTAACTCTCCAAAGCAATAACTAACAACTAAGTAATTATTAAACAACCAATAATAATTGTTAAACAACTTAACAATGAATCATCATATAAACAATTAAGTATAGATGATAAACAACTTTCAAACATATCTTAATACCTTCACAACTTCAAACACGATGGAGCAATAACTAATGATGGAGCAATTATTAAACCACCAATATAATTGCTAAACAACTTAACAACGAATGTGTCATCACACATAGCATCTAATGGAGATCTCCTATAACAATGATGGGAAATATAAGTGACTTGACTCTACTTAATTACAACGACTAGTATAAATAATAAACAATAGATGACATAGTGGCTAAAAACAATGGCTAGTATAAAACTAGAAACAATGACTAACATAAGCTAGATTGGTTTCTCAAATTTTGCCACTTAATTAGGAAAGTCTAGTACAAATGTTAGGATAGAACAAATTGAGTGTGAGCCTATCACGGTCTTAACATGCATAAACTAAGTCTGCTATGGGATTAGTTTATCGACTACCCTCCTAGTACTATGCACCCTTTCAGTAATCGATTAAAGATTTTAACCCTCAATTTCATACTTTACTCAATAAGTCACTTCAATTACAATATGGATCAACCAAACTTTCATATTATTCCACATAAATCTTAGAAGAGACACCTTAAAAACACCTTCTCATTCAAGAGCCAACTCACTCATCGAAGAGTTTTCAAATTTGGCATCTCTAAGCACCACAACTGATATCCACACCACGGGATATAAAAACTTTTGAAAACCAATTTCTCTAAGCACCACAACTAATATGTACACAATGGGATATAAAACTTTTGAAAAAAATATTTCCTCTCCTCTAATCTTTATGTATCTTAACACCACATGTATAGACTACTTAATCGATTCTAATCAAAATCAACTTACAACTTATCAACTTAATCATCTTCAACCTATATACAACTTACTATCAACATCAAAATAACTTAGATCACCATCATACATCAACATATGTTACGAATTAGATTCAATTATCATCTTTCAAGTATTTTAAAACATCAAGAGCAACTTACATCCACAACTTAAACACCATGAAATAAGTCAACTCAATTTATACAACACTTGGAATATTATTCAATTCAACTTAAACAATTCAACATGCTTCATGTCAACCTCCTACAACATGATTTATCAATCATAAGCAACATAATATAACATTGTTCCATAATTATTCAATTTGCAACAACATGATAGGTAAAAGCATAAATATATTGAATGTCCCAAGAATCGTCTAGCCAACGTAATTTGGTTCAGCCAATTTGACTTCAAAATGGCCTCTACCTTATTTTCGTCCAACAATAAAAATTTAGCCTAGTCAATTTCCCTTCAAAATACTCTTTGGCCCAACCAACTTGACTTGAAATACTTTTCAAGTAAATTTGTCCAAATTTCACCTAGTCAAGGAAATTTGGCTCAGCCAAATTAATTTCATAATAGTCTCAACCCCAATTTTGTTTGGCCATAAAAATTTGGCTCAATGAAATTGTGTTGACCCTACATGCAAAAACACCATTTTTGGAAACTCTTACCTCATCAACTCATCTACAAGTTCAAAAATTAAAATCCAAATCATAGAAATGATTCTAAACAACTTAGATAACACAAATCTAACCTTAGATTCAACATGCAACATAATTACATAAAGAAATCATCAATTTTTTTATTTTGGTTCATCAACCCCAAAACTCCAACTTCACCATCTTCAGCAACTACTTCAAAAAATTAAATTAAGCCACCAATGGACAAATTAACAACAATTACAACATGCAACAACTTCAAAGAATCAAACAACAAGTTTTCTTTATCCCAAATCGATCCCGAATCAAGGAAAGGAAAGGAAGAGAAGACAAATCTTATGACTCTCTATATGATGACTTCTCTTCAAGATTCTCAATTCCCCAACTTTAATCTTGGTTTTTACCACGCCAACTATTGATCAGGGAAGAAAAAGGGTCTTCTGGTGGAATCATATCGAAGATCAAACTCCATTAGCTACATAGCACTTCTCTCTAGTTTCTCTTTAAAATTCTAGAGATATAGACTTATGAAACTCATTTATCTGAAATTGTCTTATATACATCAGTCCTTCTTTGACCAATTTTCACACACTTAAGCCATATATATCTTTTATAACTTAAGTTTAGAATTATCTTAACTCAAACTTTTATCTCACATAAAGTTAAAAACAATTAAACAATGTAAAACATAATTCTTAAATGTGTTTATCACTAATATACATAATTAAGAAAATATGATGTTAAAAAAAACATCCAAGAGAAATTACAAACTTTGATCTTTTATTAATTTTTCTTTTTCCGTTATGTTTTTTTTTCCTTTAATTGTAATTTTTCTCGTCTTTTCCTTTCGTTTTAGCTCTTGTAACAAAACAAAAAACATTTTGAGAGGACGGATTTAGAGAAAATAATAAATAAATAAAAATCAACGACATGATCCAACGGCATAATTTGGACTAAGTCGTGCTTTAGCTCTAACGGCATGATTCCGACCACATTGTTCTACGACCAATAAGATAGAAATCACTGGACCCACGTAAAAGCTCACGATGCAAATGGAGTCATATCTTAAAGCTTAATTATTCTATTCAAGCTTGTAAATATTTTAAAATAGTTAAACACACCAAGAAATTTCATGTAATTTCCACTAAACATGGAGATCTCATCGTCCAATGGATATGTCACAATCTGCACCATAAGACCCACATAAATTTCAAGAATTAAGAAACAATAATTTTTTATTTTTTTTAAATGAAGATTAGAGAATGTATTGATAACCCTCCTCGTCAATATAAACACTCATGTTTTGTGGTAGGAAAAAGCTAAATTGTTGATATCTCATTCGTTTACTACCCACAAGAGAACAGCGCATCAAGTATTCAACAATCATGGTGCAAGAAAAAGTTGACAATAATCAAGGACTGATCACATCTATAACTATCTATACAAAGAGAATCTTGACTTCTTTACATATAATGAATGAAAAAATAGCCAATACATCTTGGGACCCAAGAAAAGCCAAAAAAATTACAAAAGAAAAAAACTTAAAAACACATCAAAATCAAAATGAAGAACAAAACTAAGATACAATTTATTAGGTAACTTTAGTATGTTGACATTTGAGTTTCTCCTCAGTAATCTATGTTGACATTGAATGCAAATTCTTATTTAGCAGATTACTAAGGTAAAACTCTGATCCGAGAACACCACTAAAAGCACCTAAAACACTGCATCAAAGTTTTGTCCCAAAATGAATTTACTTTAACTAGAACAAAAGGCATCCTTGTTAGCTGGTAGTGGTGTTAGATGAGATTGTAACCATGACTGAAAGAGGAATGTTGACAACATGACCTTGATTCCCAAACAGCCCAATTCTCCCAAAGCTGGGAACAGAGCTGTTAAGGGTTGCATTCAAGAGCACAGACAAGACCTGTCTCTCACCATTGGCAATGCAGAAGTGAGTTGGAGACACTTTCACTGAAACCCCAGAAGGAGCAGTCCAACCAACACTGTAAGATTCATTTTGGGCAATGTTTCGGACTGTCCTCAGCACTGTTCTAGATTGGTTTAGCTTTGATATGGTGATAGAGGGCAAGTTCAGATCAGGACCGTAGACTGTAGAGTTATAAAGTCCGCAATTTTGACCCGTGTAGTTTAGCACCACAGGAGCTGAACCATTGATACCACATAGAAATGACATGTAATCATCATAACCTACAAAGAAACATTTCCATATTAAGAAACCAGCATCATTAATCATTAGTCACTAATCAACTAGTTTACATAAAAATTGAGTAAATACATGTGAACAGGTATCAACTCCACTTACTCATTCAAGAGAACCGCTAGCAACACACTCTCTAACACATTCCTCTTTAATACACTCACTTTGATTTGTTAGAATTTATTAAAAATTACAAAATCACGTGAGTGTCATTAAAAAGGATATGAGACCTACAAAATTCAATATTTTCCAACAAATTTCAACTAAATAGAGATAGTGTGTTTAAAAGAGTGTATCAAAGTGTGTTACTAACAAATCTCATTCATGCAATTATTGCACAATTTGACAACCGAAATAAATTCAACAACTTCAAATGGAAAAGGAACTTGGAATAAAATATTCCAAATGTTAAAGTCTTGTTAATTTTATAGGACTAGAAATAGAACCAACAGAGATAATAGCCATAGATAATGTAGTATGTTTTATCCAATTATCAATATAATCTTCTGAGGTTGTTGGGAAACGTATGAACTTTGTAGATCATACTGGATACATGCTGGAAAAAGTAAATAAATTTATGTGACTAGTTCATGCTATTAAAATCTTGTCTACTTACCAAGGTATGTTGTATTTTGATTAACAGATTATAATAACTTTTCAAATAAGTTGTTTTTTTCCAATAATAATGACTAACGTGAGATTATTTATTAGTTTTAGATTTTCACCAACAAGATAAAAATATACATTGTGTTACATAAATAATTAATAAAAAATGTTCAAAATAATAACTACATTGTCCTGACTCTGCCATGATCATGGAGTTTCATAAACATAATACCTATCTAACTTAAACCACAATCATTGCTGACTTTTTATACCATTTTGTATATATATTGAAACATGGGAGTTTTTATTTAAGCATAATGATTGAAATGCTTAAATGACTTACCAGAATCAAAAATCAAACCAGGATTCAGTGCTCCACTTGCATTCACGAAACCACTTCCCATGTCAAAAGGGGTCGCGGGAGACTGGTTTAGCTCTGGAGAGGCATATGATCGCTGAGCCATTATTGGCCCACCACTCTTGTCATACAGAGAAGCTGTAGTAGAAAGTGCAGATCCAATGGCTGCAGGACTGAAATTGGGAAACTTTTGCCTAATTAGTGCAGCAAGACCAGCAACATGTGGTGCAGCCATGCTTGTGCCAGACATCAATGCAAAATTCTCACCTGTTGGCAGCGAAGATAAGATAATTCCATTTGACATTCATTATCAACACGCATTACAGACAAAACAACATAACATAGATCATTACTTGAAAGAGTGTTCTGTT